TTATCAATTCATTTGCATAGCTACAGAGTATGTGGGCTTTTGGTGCATCTCTACTGCAACCAGTATAGAATACTAGCAGAGCAATTTGAACTCTCTTTTAGAAGTTCAGTTTGTCAGACATTTTTCAGTCTCCATTCTTGTTCTCATTTAGTTTTGCTATGTGCAAGCAGAAACATCTACACCTGAAAAATGCGAGGTACGTGAAATATGACAATTTGTCTTCAGTTCTGTTTCTAGATTCATGAGGGATATCACTGTGTCAGTTAAAGATGTTTACATGTTGAAAGTGCACAAGAGGAATTTGGAGAATTAATGCATACACATCTTCATACCTCAGACTGGAGACAAATATAAATGAAATTGGATAATGACATTACATTCAATATGGGAAATTCTTCACTCATGCGGGAAACAGTATTTTTGAAACGTATTGCCTCATAGCTAGATGATACCACTACCCTAAATTTCCATCAGCCAGTGATCCCTATAATTGTTTATGTAAGTTATTCCTTTACCTTCTGACCACTGCTTCCTGAAAATCATTTTAATAAAAATCACTATTTTCCAGTGTCCTTTTTGATGTCCCTTCTCATCAGCGTATGCCAGCAGGATCTACATCAGATCCACAGGAATACTGTAGGAGACCTGATTATTTTTGGTTTATGATACCACCTAGCTGTGCCCGCTGAAATTTGAGTCTTCTAACAGTAGTTAGCATCCAGACCCATAGTAGGAGACAGCTCCCAGATAAGCAGCTCTTGACTACATCATGGAGACGTATGTAGACTTACCAAGAATAAGCAGCAGATCAGTTTCGAAGTGAGAAATAAAGTCTGGGTTGTCTGACACATATTGCACTGTTCACTAGCCTGTTCCAATAGTTAGGCTACTTGCTGGTGTGCCCATAAAAATTGCAGCAATCTGAAGTGGAGGATTCTCTCTACTTTTTACCATTAGGAAACAAGCACCTTTTTTAGTTCATAATATGCTCAATTACCTTTGGATTGATCCATGAATAAATTATAGTCTGAACAGATTTATTCACCTTAAAGCTTTCCTGGCTTAAGGTTTCATTGTTGATTCATTATGTTGTCAGTTCTCTATTGGCAGGGTAATGCTTTTTTATATCTGGATAGAGACAGTTTTAGTGGAAGATACGGTTATCTTTAAATGAGTAGGATTTAGCTTTTCTGGTGAGAACAAATTCATCAATGATAAATCCCTGGAGAAACTACTGAAACAAAAATCACAATGTTGCTGGAGATTTACACAGTTCATCAGTTAAAAGGCAGCTTTTGGAACTCTTGGGTGGGGAAGATGGTTTGGATTTTTCCTTTCTTTATGTAAAATACTCCTGCACAATATTTCAAGCTCCCAGGTTATTATTATTGCTTTCATGCAATTATAAACAATGAAATAATACCACTTAATTTATTTATTTTGGCTCCATTCTTGATGTTATCCCTCTAATATAAACACGTTGAGTTATGGCTATATAGAGACAGATGGATACAAATAATGTAGCTATAGACATCACTGATACAGATACATAAGTAGACAAGAATTATCTAATTACTCTGCTTGTTGCAATTTTCTAAGCACTTCCTATAATTCACATACTCTCATTAATTGGATTTATTCTAGGCAGATGTGGATATGACAAAGGTATCAGTGTATGGAGAGTTTAGTGACGTACCTGGATGTATGGATGTATTATTATTAAAAATAATAATAATAATAGGTACTGCAGAAAGAGCAGAGTTAAACTCACCAAGTTCTGTGCTTGTGCTTTCATTGGGAATTGTGCTATTATACCTTCCATATGCTCAGCAAGATATCCCCTACAATGATTAGAGGTGATTTGATGTAAATTCTCTCACCCATCTCTTTAGCAGTTATTTCAGCATGTTTCCATTTTTTTTGTTATATCCAGTAACTCGCTTCATTAACATATTGTTTGGAGTTTCATACAGACTTTGTCTCCAAAATGTTTGAAACCACAGCTTTGAACAATAAGCAGTCTCATCAGTGTTCCCTATATCTGTGCATTACTTATAATGGGAACCATCAATAAGTCCTTCCTAAGCTCCTGAGGCTACATATTCATGTATTATTTATTGTTATAGAAAGGATTGCTGGTTGTCAGTGGTGTTTGATGAAATTTGGCTTGACTGCTTGTGAACTACTAGACTCCAAACACAAAATAACCAGACCATTTGTAAGGGCAAACAGTCACCTTCTGTTAAGTCAGTGGAAGCTCATGGTCAAGCCTGGACTAAGACCTAGGTGTTTCCTTTATTATTTTAAATTCCATTTAGTCAATTTCTTGATGGAAAAATAGCAGTGCACAGCAAAGGCTAAGGTTGAGGATGTTAAATTAGATGCTAGGTTAATCATGGTTTCATTTATTTTTAAAAGACACAGATTTTATGGTTTAACTGCACACATGTCATTACGAAACATCTGAATTATGGTACTGATGGCATTGCAGACTTTACAAAATGTAAGCTGTACATTCCAACTGGCAGCTATGTTAGATGTAAAAATCTAAATACTTCCATCTCACAACTTAGAAAACTAATTAATTGCCTTTGTAATTCACTCTCCACCTATACACAAAAATTAATTCTTTTTCTGCACATGTCCTTAGATCACCTATTTCCTTTCAATATACTGAGTATTTCTGTCTGTAGAAATTAGGAGATTTGGCATACATTAAAAGAACAGAAAAGTAAAAGATTTACTCTGCAAAGATTTGGCTATTCTTACCAAAGATGATCTTTAGTTAGTCAAGCTATGAACAACTGTCTCCTCTCTCTACTACTTCAGTTAAAACCTCAGCAAAATTAGCTTTGCTACCTACTCTGAAAGTCAGTAATTCAATTCCTGGCCAGACAGGGAAGAGTCCAAAAATGGTCTATCAACAGGTCTCCTGTCTTCTCAATCCCAAAGTTGTTGGCATTAGCACATAAATTATGGAGAGAAAATAATTTTTCAGTGACACAGCTACTACTTATTCATAGTCAAAATGTATTTCTAATTGACGCAGCCTAGCAGATGTACACGAACACTTTTTATTGAAATTTTATTATTTACATTTTTGCTAAAAGTCTTAGGCTTTCTAAAAGTCATATAAAGAATTGAGTCTCTGTGTGTGTGCATTAGAGCCTATTGATTAGACTGAAATTAGACAAATTCTTCCTTCTACTAATTTTATTATTTAAAATAATTCTGGTTTTACTGTCTTATTTGACTTGGCTATGTAAGGCCACTACCATACCGCTGTGTGCAGTAGTATTTAAAGCCTTATTTTAAGACATCCTAGAACATTTCCTTTCCAAGATCATGTATGGCAACTGCACAGAAAGGAAAGTTTGTTTGATGTCTGTAAGAAAGCCTTTGAACATGACATTCAGGAACAAAGTTCCCATTGAACAGACAAAACAAGAGCTCTGTGCCAGTGGGCAAACTCAGGCTACACCTAGATTTGGGACAGATGGGGTCTGCAACATCCTCCACAGTTCTGGTCTAACATTTGCCTAGATTGAGTTTGCCTGAGATTTTCCCAGAGCATGGCTCAGTCCTAGCCTGCAGGATGACTCCTCTTCTGGAGAGCACTATGAGACTGAAAGTCTTGTTTGGACTTGAAGTTGAAACTGTGTTGAGACTACAAACCAAGCCTCAGAAGCAGGGAAGTGTTTCAAGGACCTCAGCCTCTTGATGTATGTTCAGAGTGTCAAAAGCCCAGCAGCCAAGAAAGCTTTTATTTGTCATAACAAGAAGCCTGAGGTCCCTAGGTTGGATATCATGACTGACAGATCTCATTGAGGAATTTTTCTCCTAAGGATTAGCAGAAGTGCAGGGTAACCTCTTATGGATTTACTTCATTTTAAAAAATAATAATTTCTAAATTTTTAAATAATTCCAGTTTTAAAATTCACATTGAAATTCCATGTTAAAAAATTGATAACCACAGCAGTTCTTGTTCTATATGCTCTTTGAGGTTGTATTAGTAGTGTGAATTAATGCTAGAAACTGCTGCGGCTATATATCCCCTGTTACTACCTGCTAGTTTCTGCAGTACTGCAGGAGCTTCTGAACGGGTTGAGTTAGGTGGATAAAATACTTCTGCAGAATAAGGAACTAGTTTCAGGGGAGGAAGGGCATGGTCTTTTATATCAAGCAAAAAATCCATGTTTTCTACCATTTTTCATTCACTTAAATGTTTGAATGCGGCACACTACAGTTGTTCATATCTCTGCTAGGTAAGGGACATTTTCTTTCGGAAAGCTGCGTGTTCTATGAAATCTGAACCAGAGCTTTCATGTTCTTCAGTGAGACATGAGTTTTGCAATTCAGTGAAATCTTCCTCTAGTTTGCTTAATTGGGTTCAAACAATAAATGTTTCAGAAAAGTGGGACATAGAGATAAATTAGGAGACTAGAATGTGTTTCAGTTCATTTGGTATTTGTTAGCCTTGCTATTACAGGTCAAGACATCCGTCTGTATCAGAATGCAAAATACACATTTGTAAGCTTTAAAATCATATATTGATATATTCAGATATCCATACAAATAATCTTACACACTGGTGGAACCCTTCTAAGTAAACTGATAGTTTTATGATCCCTTTCCACATACTACAGAAATAAAGTTACACATTTGAATTATTTAACGTGATACATTTTTATATATAAGCTAGTATGCAATGGGGAAATATAAGATTGTTGGATGCTGACCTGCAATTCAGCTGTTCTTCTGTTTTAGTATATTAATATTTTAATATTAAATATAAATTTTCAAGTCAGATCCTGAAGTTTATATTTGATTTTTATTCACTTCTCACTCTGGTAAAGTCTCAACTGATTTCAATTTCAACTTCCTGAATAAGCAGTAATTTGCACTCAGCAAGGACTTAGGATCTCATCCTTGGGATCATACTCACCTTTTTGCTACACGCGCTCATTAGTCATAATTATGTTACCTGATTTTTGTTTCAGAAACTACCTAGTTTTGGGCCTTACCTGGAACAACGCAAAAAGATAATAGCTGAGAACAAGATTAAACTGAAGGAACAGAGCATGGCTACTGTGCTTCCGGAGAAGAAGCATTTCATTCCAAAGAAGCCCATTCCAGCAATCAAGGTAACAGAGACACATGCTTACGTATAAGAAATGACTAGCCATCAGGCAGTTGACATGCACAGTAATTTCTGGTAGTTTGAGTTGGTTATTACTGCTTTTAAGCTTGTTAGAATGCATCAAAGACAACTATTTGTGCAGACTTTCCTAGCTTTTAACCAAAATCGATGGGAAATTTTTTGTGATGTACATGTATAGGTATTTCCATAATGTCATTTTTTAAAATTAAGATACTCAGGCAATGGAACGGTAATTATAGAACAAGATAGGGGTTCCTTGAAGAAGGAAGTAGAACTGTTAAGAATTTCTTTCAGTTTGAATGCTACAGTATGAGCTCAGTTTTGCATGATACCTTTCGATTACTTGCAATGTGCTAATATCTCCATCTTTCATGCAGGATCAATGGAAAAGGTTAGTATTCAGTACATATGAAAGCTGTGTTGTAGGTTTCCAGACTGAACTTTCAAAGCTGGAGAATTTTTTGTCTAAGTAGGAGATCAACCGTATACAATAAGTAAATGTCAAGGCGAAAATAAAACCTGTGACCCCACCTACTGCATAATCCATACATTGTATAGCTTTTCCCTTTCCTTAGGTAGACAATAAATGTCAATAAAATGAAATGCTGAAAGCTAATTATTCTAGATGTTCACTTCAGACCTTACTTAAACTTCATGTCTGAATAGGAAAAAGAAGCGAGCAAAATAAATTATCTTTATTTTAAAATCAGGATTCTCATGTAGGCCCTTTTATAACGCCCTGTGAAAATTACACCTATTGAGCTTGTTGGCTGCCTTCCTCATATATGTGAGGATATCACATATCTACAGATAGGTAACTCTCAGTGTATGATCAGATCTGTAAGAATTCTTGCAAAAATAAGGCCAAACAGAAAATACAATAAAATCGGTTGGTCAAAATAACACATCATTATTTTTCAGTTTACCAACATATGCAGTATTCCAAGCTAACAGGTAGAACTGCAAAACCAGCCAAGGAGAAATTTTGAGTCACCTTCCTGTTTAAGTTACATAGTTTGTCAGTTCTATAGAACTCTCACAGTTTTTTGGGCTGCTTATTTTGTTTTATGTCACACTGTTAAAAATTGCTCCCCTCCTCTTGTGCTAAGGTTTGCCTTTTTATGTATATAAAAGTTCCAAAGAACAGCAATCTACTCTTTTTTTTTTCCCCCCACTATGATGAGCATTTTCAAAGCCTATTTGACCTAGGAGGTTTTATGGTTCTGTTGTCTTTGCAGGTAGAGTATTGATGTAGGGACAAAGAGAAATTTTTTTAAAGAAGCAACAGCCAATAACTGCATTTTCAATGAGAGAGCTTGCTTCTGAAAACAGCAGAAAATGAAAAAACTGATACCATCCAAAAGGAAATAATGAAGGAAAAAGTTTAGCAAGAGGGAAAAAACAGACATAAACTCTTGAAAAAAACATAAATAAAAAGTTGAGTTCAATAATTTATCAAGCCTAACTCCAAGTACAAAAGCAAAAAAGAAACAAGTAGTAGGAGATAGATTAAAAAGAAGAAAAGAGGCCCTACTGCAGGGAAGAGGAAAATTAATTCCCCAGAACAAAAACTTTTGTTTACAGAAACACTAAATATTTCCATGTGGTGTCTGTGAGGAGCTTCTCAGCTAGAGAAATTAGGTTGGCGAGTGTCTCACACCTTCATTTAAATGAGATTGTAAAAGACTGAAGCAATTAAAAGGTAGGAACCACCAAAACTGATTCCTGATAGTCTTTCAGCCTGACCATCTCTTTAGAAGGGGATGTTTTAACCATAATGAGTAAAACAGCAATAAGAAATGCCCGCTAAGAGATAAGAAGATACCTGCATTTTGCTTGAAGTAGGTAATTTGCCACCACAAAGGGAGGTTTTAATAAACTTTATTATTATTAGATCCATCTATAATTATAGTGTGGAGAAAATCTGCCAGGAATATTCAGAATATTAATTAAGGAAGCTGAGTGAAGCTTAATGAATAAAGGTGACTTATCTGATACCGTTCCCTGATAAAGAATTCTCCACATAGAGAGGCAGAAGAGCTTGGACTTGAGTGATTTATTCGTAACTGTCCAAGAAGTTGTCTCATTTAGTATTACAAATCCCAGACCATCTCCAAGCAGTTCTGTCTTGGCTGACCCACTAGACAGAGGAAAGAATACATTCTGTTAGTTCAGACTAGGATAGGAGGGGGTTGGGAGGTCAGCTTTTATAGCTATGCCCAGCCTAACTCTAGTTCTCTGGAGCAGTGAAGAGGTAAGCTTGAAAACAGATTGGACCTGAGAGACAGCTGTCCTTCAAAGAGCTATGACTCCTGCTTTGGCTGGTTGTATTTTTGGAGGGTTGCTGCAAATTTCCGGATGCTTGCCCAGAACTCCCTCATCTCTCTAATCGCTGTTGGGTTGGTGATATGTAAATTCCAACATTTGTCTAAATTCCACATGCTGCCAAAATGACTTTTTTTATAGATTTAAAACCTCTCTGTGATTATCCAAAATATAATTTAATTTTTGGATAGCTTTCCCCATTACTTTTCTCTTTATCTTCTCTATTTTTCAGTATTAATTGTAAATGCATACTTTGATATTCAGCAGAGTTGTTTCTTCTTTTCTCACTTGTCTGTAATACCAGAATTTCTGCCATATGTGGATATGTGCCCTGGATCTTTTCTTTTTTACACATGCATTTTGTACAGCTCCACACATGTATCTGCCTACCTCAGGTTACTTCCTTATTACTTTAATTTCTTTTCTTATATATTTCTGTGGTTTTTTTCCTAATAATTTAGTTCTTTTTCCTTCAGGGCCTGTACCATAATATTTGGTCACCATTTATCTGCTTATTTTATTTCTTCCTATTTTACTCCACAAGTCTTGCTGTAGAGATTGCCCTGTTTGGTAGGTTAAACACTCTAGCATACTCAGTTTGTCAGCTTGGCTAGGACATGACATGTTGTTCCACTTGGAAAAATATCCATAGAGATCCTCAAGCTTAAAATCCTTGTGTTTGAACTTTTTTTCACCCTTGTGTGTACAGATATGGTCTTTTGCACATACATATGCGCAAGTTTTTTTATGCTGATGCCATAAGCACCCAGCTGGAAACCAACACTTTGGACGTATCTAGCCGCATTTAGTCCAGTGCTCTGCTTAATCTATAAAACACTCTTGACAGGTGAGGTATATTGATGTAGGCACAGCACTGGTGTGCCATAATGATGTACCATGTGGATCCTTCCTGGCATGTATCTGGGTGGTTCAACACGAGTAGTTTTAGCTTGTGCTTGCCTGCCTGGAAGAGACTGTATTATAATCTTCATCATAAATGTGGAGCTGTTGAGTATTTCAGGTGGAACGATGCATGTGTCTCCCATAATTTATGGGACTCTAAGTATGCTTCTCCCACGTATTTGCTCCAACATGAATCACAGCAATAATCTCTCCTGCAGTGGCTCATAATGATCCCTTCTTTATCACAGTACCTCAGAAAATATTCTCATTATATGTGACAGTTTAAGCAAATTTAATTTAGTCTTCAGATATGGGGAGAAATCCTACAGTCCAAACC